CAGGGTGCAGAAGCATTGGTTGAGGTTTGTTTTTTTTTAAAAAAAGAGGTCGCCTTTTGAGTAAATGAAGCATCTGAGCTAGGCTCTTCTTCCCGAGTGGAGATTTATGTTGTTCCTGTCGTTCTTCAACTGGGTGCAACTGGGAAATGGAGCCCAAGGTTGGGGTTAGAATTTGATCAGAAATGAACAACTTGATGGTTGACTGATGGGGGAGGAGGTAGGGGGGATGGGTGAAAAGAAGAAAGGAATTAAGAACTACAAACTGGCAGTTATAGAACTAAGGCAGGGGGATGTATAATACAACATAGGGAATATAGTCAATAATACTATAAATGGTGATTTATGGGATGATCACTTCGTAAGTTATATAAATGTCAAGTAACTATGTTGTATACCTGAAACTAATGTAATATTGATGTCAACTATAATTGAAAAATAAATTTTTTTAAAAAAGACTGTGGTGAGGGTTGGGGAGTGTGGGCAAGGAAAACGGGTGTTCCTCTTTACCTGTGCAGTGTGTTCCTCAGCACCAGAGGTAAAGGCCTTTGTGTTCTAACCCCAGCACTTACCTTCCNTTTTTTTTAAAAAAGACTGGTGAGGGTTGGGGAGTGTGGGCAAGGAAAACGGGTGTTCCTCTTTACCTGTGCAGTGTGTTCCTCAGCACCAGAGGTAAAGGCCTTTGTGTTCTAACCCCAGCACTTACCTTCCTGTGCCTCTCAGGTTGATCATATTTTCTCCAGCTGAAGGAAGGAAGAAGAAAGGAGAACAGCCAGAGAGAGAATGGCAGGAAGAAGTAAAGGCAATCAGGACAAAATTTAAACTATGCGGCCATGTGGAGACTTGTAAGAATCTTTTTCACCTGTCAGCTGACATTCAACTAGTTGATGTGCAGGCCCAGCTCAAGGAATAAACATTCCACATATTCCAAAGGATAGAACTAGGCAAGTGGAAGGCTGGAGAATGGGGATAAATATAAGGAAGGGCTTTGTCCCCCCAGCTTTCCAAACGCTGTCACTCGCCAAGCACTGATTGCCAAGTCACAAAACCCAAGCTGAAACAGGATTTGTCAAAGATGCTGTATGGGAAGGTTCTGGTTGAGATGAGAAATTAACTGACATGGATGACCTCTAAGAAGCATTCAAACTCATTCTATTTAGGGTTAAATGATTTATAAACTACGGTAGTTCAATAGTACTCAGCAGAGATTTTACATGATAGCTTTAAAATCAGAAATGAGTGTCTATTGAATAAAGAACTTGAACTGGATGTGCTTGTGATTTCTGGGACTCATACAAGCAATGAAATTCTCAAGAACAAAATGTCAATTTGGGGATAGTAATTCTACTTCTAAAGAAAGAAGTTTATCAGTTACTACATTTATAGGAATCAGGAGAGGAAGAGAGAATTTCAATGACAACTCAAAGGAAAATTATGCTCTACTTTAATTTGAAAACTGGAAGTAAACATAAACATTTCAAGTAATTTTCCTGATTGCATTTTTGTTTTAACTGTGGCTGATGTGGTGGTGTTTTGATAGCAAACTTCTCTTTACTAAGGAACTTTAGCTATCTTTTTAATTTTTCCTTCCATAGAACTTCACAAATATGATATTTTAGTTTCACTTAATGGACAAGAAAAGCTTGATGAGCCTCTTCTGGATTTACTTTACTACCCCAATTTCCAGCTGCTGTCTCAAAGCAGTTTACTATTGGGAGGGCACCGGAGCCACTAGCCTGTAACTAGTAAAAGCTGTGAAATCTAATTCCTACCAGAGGGAAGGATGTGATTGTCGCAGAAGCACTCCTAATAATCTGAGCACAGCCCTTCTACAGTAAGCGGCCAGCCCCAAAGCCCTAGACAGTACTGGTTGGCCTGGATGACAGGCACACATGGGGATCTGTTAGATGGTACTAAAAAGAGGCCTGGGAGTGATTGCACACAATTCACCAAAAGCCTTTTCTCCTTCTCCATTTCAGCTCTGCTTAGCCACCCTCCAGCCATAAAGGGAAACCTGGCTCTTCTTCAAAGTTTACTTTTGGGATTCCTTGTTTTAGCCACTTCCCTCAATCCTGCCTCAAGATTCATTTTAACACTATTTCGTGATAAAAGTACCGGAGAAATAAGTAGGAAGAAGAAATTTAAAATGAGAACATCATCTGCTCATTTTATGGTTGATCCTGATTTTAAGGGTAATCGATTCGAAATAAGAGACATAACTCTTTCTGACTAAGCATTTCAGCTTTGCGACATTCGTGCACTTGTCATGGACGGTGGCGCAGATCTTTCAAACTACATGCTCCCCCTTTTATTTCAATAATGTTACATGAACCAGTGGTTCATTACTCATCACAAACATGTTTAAACTCAAAACAAAGGTTATACACATAAAAACAGAAAACAAAAAACACAGATGTTTGTACTCCCCAGCCACGCAAAATGGTGTGCTGTTTCTTAAGAACTATAATTAAGAATTGACATTGGCAGTATTGTAATAACTAC